AATTATGAAATCTCCGAATGGTGCCCCAGTATGTCCCACCAAAAACCTCTGCCTTTGCGCTCAACCTTTCTCCGTTGCTCCCATTATTTAGTCCTCAGCCTTGTTCAAAACAATTAGCACTTTCCTTGATCGAATGTCTTCAAATTAAGCTGCCTATCTAGCTTTCCCTCAAACCCACCAGCAGGTTCTTCAAGTTAGAAGGAATTGTGTTAATAATGCCTCTGACTATGGATTTTAAATCGTGTTGAGGTTATCAAGTTAATGGCACCGTTAACTAGACCTGGGAATGGTAGAGAATTGTCTCATAAGAGGTTTATCAACTGCATAGTGATTTAATCAATCAGTAGGGTGCTATCCTACAGTTTAATTCCTCTGTTGCAAGACCTGAACTTACTATTCAATATTAAGGGCAACTTTGACATCCGGTAAAATCGAGAGGGCACTGAAAAATCGAGAGGGCACTGATAAGCTAAATACAGTTCCCTTCTTCCCTCTCTCAAGGATCAATCCTCCGTATCAGGAGAACCGGGAAGAGTGCCTGCTTTTCCTGCCATATTGGACTTCAGTTCCCTGCAGCCCATGAAAGCAAACACCAAACTTACTGCCCCAGGGTTACCGAATAGGGGAGGGTAGAACTGCCCCTGTGAGTTTCTGAGACTGTAACTCTTTATGGGTGTAGAAAGCCCTGTCTTTCTCCTGAATAGATGAGTTTTGAACTGCTGACCTTGCAAGTTGCCAGCAGGACGTATAACCACTGCACAGCCCATAGTACACACAAAAAAGCTAAACACACCCTCCTATGGGAAGCAAAGCTCACCACCCTATCCCTGTGTTACTAGAAAGCCAGCTTCTTCCAGCCCCTGCTGGTTCCTCACTTTGGGCTGGAATGAACCAGCTGGGGCGGCCTCCCAGTCCAATGTGCATTCCCTGTGTGGCCCTGAATGGCACATGAGTACTTCTGACTACTGATGACTCTTCTCACTTCTAGTGTTGGGTGTCACCGACTGGGCCACCATCATAACCCTGGGGAGGAAACGCTTTCTCAACGACTGGGTAATGAGGAGGAATGGGTAGGGTAACCACATGACAGAACACACTGTTCCGTGGGGGGTTTTCTTGGCAGGAACCTTTATGGAAGTGGATTGCCGGGTCTTTTCTCCCGAAGAGCAGCTAGTGTGCTGGAACCATCAACCTTTTCATTAGCATCCCAGCGCTTAACCACTGCACCACAGCGCTCCTTATTTTTACTTTAAGGCCATTTAATACTGCCAATTCCGTTGCTTCCTTCACTCATAAAACCAAGGAATTATCCTTCACGCGACATTTAAAAAAGTCCTTTGTAAACATAAGCACCTAAGTATCTACCAAACAGAAGTGGTTACTACAGCCCCCGCTCTAAAGTTTAATTGATACGTTCAGCTCCGGCTTCAACCAGACGATAAATTCCTGCAGGGCTGTGGCGAGAGGCATTTGTGGACAAACTTTAGTCTGTTTCGTTTTCAAAGGGATCACAAGTTTATATTCAGTCACAATACAAAGGAAATGACCGAGCACTCCCCGGAGAGGACCGTGTTTGGTAGAAAGGCAGTGAAGAAGAGGAAGGACTGCCACAGTGGCTGCCACCATGGGCTCCGGCATAGGCGCCATGGTTGGTGTCGGCTGGTGTAGGACCAGGCAGGGTTTCGTTGTGTTGTGCAGACAGTGTTTTGGGTGGGAACTGACTCGAGGGCACTGAACAACATTTTTTCAGATTCCCTAAAAGTGATACCACCGTGAGCCTACAGGGTCTCCATTACTAATCCAGTTAGAATTGGACAAAACCCAAAACTCACTGCTGTCAATTTGGACTCACAATGACCCTATAGAACTGGGCAGTCAATAGAAATAAGTATGTAATGACCAAATTTCTCCTTGTCATGAGCAAAAATCTGGTTTCTCCATCAGGGTTGGAAGACGTAAAAAAGAAATACACGCAGCCTTGACATATGTGGCCTACAGGGTTCTGACCTGCCTCTTGGTACAAGTAGCTTTTGCAGTTTTGCTTGATACACTGACTCCATATAGCTGCTCATGGTCATTTTCATATCTGGAATGTGAAAAGTTTATAATGCACTTATTCTTCTTGGTAGACAGGTGACATATACAGAAGAACCCGTACCCCAATTAGAGCATTTTTATTGTTTCCAAATACCATACAAAATTATATCTATAATAGCCAGTGTATACCTTAATGTATCCATAAAAGTGAGCCCAAACATATCTTTTCTATTTCAGTTGTTGCTTTGAGTTGCTGCAGGGATCCTCTGAGTACCGCTATTCACTCCCATGGCTGGCTTGGGCCTTCTAAACACGAGCACTCCTGCTATGCTGCCCCCGTGTGCAATGAATGAAGCACGTTACTTTGTTAGAGGATGAGTTTTTCAGAGATACTGTCTCTTATTTCACTTTCTCTTGATTTCACTGAAGTTTCCCTGTCATCGTGCCGCCAGGCACAAAATAAAATAGGGTAGCCAGGTGCTCTTAGTAATTACTGTGTTCACAACTTCTTGAAGTGTCTGTGAATTCATAATATTGAATCTGACACAAACACCATTTTGAATGTTTCCAAATCCTTTTGTTAATTTTTCTCAATTTCTTCTCACTTTTTCAGACCTCTTTTAAGGAGCAAAGTGCCTCAGTATAAATAATTCCGTACTTTAAATGTTAAGTAAACCCACTGCCATCAAGTTGGTTCCTACTCATAAAGACCCCGTACAAGGTTGCAGAGACCATAAATCAACGGCCTCTCTCCTAGAGTGGCCGGTGGGTTTACCTGTCGATCTTGTGGTGAGCATGCCAACATCTAGTCCACAATGCCACAGGGGCTCCTGTACGTGCAGGTACATGACTCCCGTCGAAAAGTGACTCGTTTCTCTTTTCACAACCATCTAGAATACCCAGCTCCAGCTTACTGTATCTATCTAGAAGGGCAGTAAAATGATTTGAAGGTATTCCACCCGACTTAAGAAACCCATGGCATTCCATTTAGCTTTGTTGAAAATAGAGGAAGCGGGTCAGGACACGCAGGAAAGAATGTGATGAAAAGCAGGTGATGGATTTCAAGTAAATTTACTAGTTGGCAGGAAAAATGACTTACCAGTATGTTGGGTGGTAACAATATCTTTATAAAATAGCAAACTCTACTGAATCACTTTGAAGACAGTGCTTTTGTACAACTGGTTTTAAAGCCTCAAAGAGGTTACAATTTAGGGTATTTTAGTTTAAGACCAATGAGTGTTGGCGTAAAGCTGATAGTTAAAAGCAACCAACCAACCCTGACTTCTTTTAGCATAGACATCGGTTGCTTCTTTAATAAAACAAGCTATTTCCAGGTCATGGGCCTCATAATAAATATTCAGACCTACACTATGGATATACAGACTTTATTACTCTTTTTACATGTAAGAGTTTCAATGGCATCTAAGGTGCTAACCAAAGCAATCACGAACGGTAATGTCATTTTAAAATAACCAACACTGTGGCTTTTCAAGTTTGGTTTTCAGAGGATAATTGATCCTGAAGCAAATATAACCATGCTTTAAAAAAAATTCCCCCCTTGCTGAAGGGTTGTGGGGAGGAGACGAGCCAATCAGGGTGCAGGGCAGCAACAATGAAACATGTAACTTTCCTCTAGTTCTTAAATGCTTCCTCCCCCCCACTATCATGATCCCAATTCCACCTTGCAAATCTGGCTAGACCAGAGGATGTACATTGGTACAGATAGCAACTGGAAACACAGGGAATCCAGGACAGATGACTCCTTCAGGACCAGTGGTGAGAGGGGCAAGGCTTGGAGGGTAAAGGGAATGTGGGGTAGAAAGGGGGAACTATTTACAAGAATCTAAGTATTGCCTCCTCCCTGGGGGAGGGACAGCAGAGAAGAAGGCGGGGGGTGGGGTAGGGGGGATGGGGGTGGGGATGTCGGACAGGGTAACTTATGACAAAACTATAATAAGTTATGAATTATGAAGGATTCATGAGGGAGGGGGAGTGGGAAGGGAGGGGGGAAATGAGCAACCGATATTAAGGGCTAAAGTGGAAGGCAAATGTTTTGAGGACATGGGCAACAAATATATATATGTGCTTGACACAATGGATATATATATGGATTGTACTAAGAATTGTACGAGCCCCCAATAAAATAATTAAAAAAAATTTTTTAAGATAAATTAAGTTGCATCAAAAAAATTTCCAGGCCATTGCTAGCTTGACAATATGTGGCATAAGCAGCAAAAGAATCACAACTTGGTCAAAAATAAATACAGCATTGTAGGCTACTGCCAGGCAAGGGAAGGGTGGTGGGGATCAGGAAGTAGTTGTTGGAATGAACAGAGTACCTTGGCCTCTGGGCCGTCCAGGCCGGGGTGGGGGGCCTTTGCGTCGTTCACATCCCAACGCTGTTTTCAAGGTAGAAGGCAATGTCTACGATTGCATTTATGACTTCTAACAGAGTGAGAGCAAACACGTAGAATGTGATGAGCGGGGTCTTGTCTCATGAGTTTTTATTGTCTTTCTTGTAGTCCAAAACATCACATCCGCGGGGGTTATCACCAATCCCTCAGTAGAAAACCATTTCAAATAATATTAGTTGTAGATCTCTGTGTGCTTTTGGCAAACGGTACTAAATGAATTAAATGAAGGCAGCAATGTCTTCCCCCAACAGATGGAGTTCAGCATGCTTACAGCCGAAAAACCCAGGCTTGAGAATTAAATATCTGAGGAAAGTATTCCTATTTCAAATCATGGATGATATAATATGCTTGGCTCAGAATGTTTTGTGGCTTTGCCCCTGAAATTAGTGTTTTAAGCCAATGAAGAATAAATTGATAGAGGTGTAATAAAAACTAATACACGAAAAGGCTCTGCAGTCACTTGAGGATAAACAAGATAGAGATTCCAGTCTCGAGACACCGAGTATTTTGGCAGACTGTACAGATGATCACGTACAAAACTTTAACAAGTTGGATATAGAGCTGATTTATTTAGTCCAGTATATTCATAATATTTAGAAGACATGTACTTTATTCAAAAACAGTGTTTATTCACACACAAAAAAACTTCTTTTTGGTAGCTGGTAGCTCTTCCCTTGGTGATCAAGAATATTATTCCCAAACTTTTAATAACCATAATTCAGAAAAATTAAAAGAACCATTTTGGTTAGGAATCAAATATACAAAGGCTCAACAACAACAACAAAAAGTTGGGGTGGGAGGGGGGAGGGATAGGGAGGAATTTTACAGAAGACAAAGACCAAAATGGCATCTAGATTCAGAGCAACTTTATAAAGCAAGATAGAGCTTGAGCAGCTTCTTCAATCATTCTAGTGGATTCGATAATGGTGTCTCCATCAAGGGCTTTCAAATGCATAGTAAAGGGGGTTTTCCGGGAACAGAGGTGAAGATATATCTTTTTTTAAATTTTTTTTTCCTAACTCACAAACTATGCGGTCAAAGGAATATCTAAAGCTAAAGAAAAGCACATCTGGTGGAAACGCAGGGCAATGGTGCTGACAAGACGTGCTGCATCTGCCTCGCGGCAGCTTGGCAGTGGGCAGCAGAACCGGGGCGAGGATCACGGCTTCTCTTGCATCGGCTGCTCCGTAAGGGGCTCCGTAGTGGTGGCACTAGCATTGGCAGTCGAGTTCAGGACTTCTCCAAAGTCCCCGCCAGCAGGCTTGGTGCCCCCTACTTTAGACTTAAGAAAAGGTTCAAAAAAGGAGAGAAATGAGAAAACACAAATTTAGCTGGCTCGGCATAAGGGAGCCCTAATGTTCCTTTAAAGAGCAGATATCCCGGGAACCAACAAGGCCAGTGGGCATCACGTCTGTGTGAAACGTCGTGCGGTTGTTAATGTTCAGTGTGGCTTAATAACCCAACAGACCATCTCTGCTGAGATATACAAGTGGATCACTTCCACCCTATTCTCCCCTCTAAGGGTTCTTTCTCAGAGGCAGTTTTGTCTAACACACTGTGTAAGAACTCCAACACTTACTGCCGCAGATCTCTTCTGACTGGGGCGACCGACACTAGTGTAAAACACCTAGTGAACTCTGTCGATACTTGGACAGCATCAAATCATTTGTTCATTTACACTCATTCAGAAATATGAAGTCCAATTTAAAGAATAGATCCTCCCCCTCCCCCAGTTAGCTCTGTTAACCCTCTGTTAAAGTACTGTCCAATGACCTACAGAATCAATACTATCTGAGAGGTTCCCAGGCAGGCATCCCACCACCACCGGGTATCTCCCCAAACTGACTGCTACTGAGTCAATGCCGACCCATAGTGAGCCTATAGGTCAGGGTCAAACTGTCCCTGTGAGTTTCGGAGACTGTAACTGTTTACAGGAGTAGAAAGCCCCATCTTTCTCCCACAGAGGGGCTGCTGCTTTCAAACTGCTGATCTGCAGACCACGGTCCAACTTGTAACTACTGCAGCACCAGGGCTCCTCCCATGTGCCTACCGAATTGAACTCTAGACATCAAGAGCCCAAGGTGACTCACAAGCACTGATCCTACCTATCTGAGCTGAAACATCGATAAACATTTATGTGAATAGACTCATCTTCCCCTCTACTTATAAAGCATGTAGGCACTCTCATCATAGTGCATTTCACGACTGACCAAGAAGACGGCTGGCTAATTATTAGGAACCAGTCCAAACCAGAAGCTCATAGGGAGTATGAACTTGACCTCATTCAACTCTGAGTAGCCAGAGACTGGTTATATATCAAGAAAGTGGGAGGAATTTTCTCTCATTTCTTTGTTCTCCCATGAAAAATAGGCAGTACTTTTGAGCTGTTTTGAGACATCTGTATAAAGTATATCCATTCTCAAGGCTGTGGGTTTGGCATTGTGCTGCTACCTGTAATGTCAGCAGTTCAAATCTGCCAACCAGTCCACGGGAGAAAAATGAAACTTTCTGGTAGAGATGCACCATCTTGGAAACCCTCTATCAGGTCACAATGTGTCTGAATTGAGTAAACGGCAATGGACTTGCCTGGTGGAATGTCTCTCATAGCTACCACATTTATAAAAACATACTCTTTAATTATCAGAAAGTCAAGAACCTTTGCAACCGACCATTTACCAAACTGAAGAATTCCTCACCACACTGGACCCCCTTCTCTATCCTTTGGCTCACCTTTTAAATGATAGCAGCCCACTGCACAGTGCCATCAAGTCGATTCCAACTCCTAATTTTCTAAGTAGGGTTTTCAGGACCAAATATTTGGGGGAGCGCACAGCCTCATCTTCCTCCCAACCACATTGCCCAAGACAAACTGGGGAGGGGGGGGTGGCTCTTCATCACTCCCTCGTGATCACTTTGAGTATCATTTTGAAAACAATGTAATTTACCAAGTAGTGAATTCATAACTGTGGAAAATCATTCTCTTTCACTGAAATCAAAGACATTAAAAAAACCAACAACAGTGAACCTTTGTTGCCATTGATGACACTGCCAAATTGTCATCATGGCATTGTTTATAATAATTAAAATTGACAATGATTGAGGATTAAACAAATGATATCCCCATATTATATGAGGGAACTTCAAGAAATTCATGTAAGAATGGAATTGAATGACTGGAATTTTTGCCTGAGCTTCTCGAAACTCCTTTGTATAATGGCAGTGATTAAATATAATATTGAAGGAGAATATTTAATGACATGGGAATGTGTTTATGATGTATGAATTAGTTGCTTTATAAAGCATATTGATATAATCCCACTACAAACATAGAACATTATCTCTGGATGGCAAGACAAGTTCTCTCTCCTTTTATTAATGTTTCGTGCTTTCCTAAATGCTTCTCATTTTTCTACAATATTAAATTGTGCCCAATTGTAGAAATAGTTTCCATGAATAAGGCAAAAGAGGAGCACAAACTTTTCGAGCATACTTGGGGTGTAAGTGCTATCTTTTTCTAACATTCCGCAAGCTAATACCTCCAGCACACGCTGAGAATTCACTGCCCATTAATAATTTAGTGAGTAGATTCTTAAAGTTCTCTAAGTGTTTTTAGAAAGAAATGTGCATAATGTACCCACGCTATGGCGCCCCCCTCCCCGCCCCCAAACCTAGTCATTTCTCCACTTGCCTTTAAATTTTCAACCTTTTCTTCAAATGATTTGAAGGTCGGGGAGTTTCTATGGAGGGAAAATAAAAACAAATAGTAAAACTACAAACACTCGGGGGAAAGAACCATAACAACTTTAAAAAACATCATTAGTTAATTGTTGCCAAATATTAAGAGAAGTATTTGGATCAGTTCTCCATTAGCCAAAGAATAGATACATCATCTTTTTACATAAATCGTGCCTTGCACTGAAGGTTTTCTATGTGTGTGAACAGCAGGCCCCCCTCATTGTCATACTAACCTAATTTTTATTACAATGAACGTCACGTAAAAACAAATAGCATAGTGTGCTTACAAAAATACCAGGCCAGGAGGGACGAGGTTACCTAAAAGACATATACCCCGGGTACAGTACTTGTTTTATCTAAACATTGAGAAATAAAATGATAAGATGTACTTAAACTACTTAAAGAAAATTTAGGGGACAGAAAAAAATTCATCTCTAAATGTTTAATGCCCCCATCTTATACCACTATGAACAAGCACACACAAAAATATTGTATAGTATTCCTAGAAGATCAATATCTGTTTTAACAATGCTATCATTTCATTTTTGAATCCATGAACAAAGCCAGTCTTGGACACAGCATATGCGAGGAAAAGGGACAAAAGCGAGTCAAATACCAATTCTTTCACAACCCAAATGTCACCACCTGACTAATTTATTTTGATTGAGGTGCTATGCTGTAGAACTCATGTTTAAATGCACTTGTTACCTGGCAAAAAATCCTCAGCACCCACCCAGAAAAAGCAGGCTGTAGGAGGCTTCCTACCAGGGACCCCGAATCAGGGAAGAGCATGATACGCAGGGCAAACCACACCCCAAACTCACTGCCTTCTATCTGATTCCGACTCGGAGCGGCCCCACAGGATAGAGTAGAGCTGCCCTGTGGGTCTCCGAGACTGCGACTCTTTACGGGAGGAGACAGCCTCTTCTTTCTAACAAGGGGGTGGCTGGTGGTTTGGAGCTGGTTTTGCAGTTGGCAGCCCATCAATGCATAACCGCTACTTGAATCCGCAAGAGGGATTCCAAAGAAGAAAGAGCCCAGAAGCGTGGCTTTGCTGCCCTTACATTTGCCCATATTGTCTAAGGCTCATCCCAGCACCCTTGTCTGCTTCCAACGCTTTGTTGTTATTTCCACTGGCGTGTGAGAATCCTTCCTACTTCCCCCAAGTGAAAAAGACAAGGAAAGCGAACAAGGCTATCCTGTTTCCACAGAGCTGCCCAGCAGAACAGGCTAAGCCAATTGGTTCTCAAAGTGTGGTCCCCCAAGCAGCAGTATCTCTCAGGGATTCATGAGGCGTAGATTCTCAGGTCCCAGCGCAAGCCTATAGAAGCACAAACTCTTTAGGTGGGGCACAGCAAGCGGGTTTACTTAGGCCTCCAGTAATTCTGATGTACGTAAAAACTTAAATCATTTGCCAAAACTCCTCTGCCTCCCTCAAGTGGTCAGGTGAGGTAAGAACATGTATCACATTTCTCAGTGTCTTGGTGAAAGAGGATAGTAGATTTAAGCAGAGGTGGCTTAAAGTGTCACACTCCACACTGCTGGTGAACCGATGCTGCTTCATAGGGACTCCATACAGTGTTTCCAAGGTTGTAAACCTATGGGAGCAAGTTGCCACATCCCAAGGAGTGGCTGGTGGGTTTGAACCACCAACCTTGCAGTTAGCAATCCCATGCTTAAACAATAGCTCCATCCAGGCTCTTTAAATATCACGCTCTCAATCGCTGTCAGCAAGTCCATGCCCAGTCATAGTGAATCTATAGGACAGGGCAGGACTGCCCCTGTGTGTTTCAGACTGGAACTCTTTAGTGGAGTAGAAAGCTTCCCGCTTCTACCCCAACTCGTAACCTCTACACCAACAGGGCACCTCAAATGTCACACTAGGATAAGGGAAATAACAAATGGGGAGGAGGCAAGAAAACTGGGCAATTACAGCTGGTGGAGACAGCTGTGGGGAGACATTTATAGCCCTGCAAAAGAAGGTTTCTTAGATCAATAGTGTGAGCTTTTTCAAGCAAACAGGTTTCTGATGTGAAGGCATTTAAGAGGCTTATAAAAATAACATACAAATAGAAATTCTTAAACACACACGCATGCCAGCAATCTTCTGCACCCATCCCAATGTCCCAGGAAGAGCAAGCGCAAATAGACACAACGTTAAACAGGTCAGGGAGAACTCTACTTAATATGAAAGCAGAAGACCAATCAAATTCTGTGAGAATATACTTTACCTCATAGCAGGCATGCTAATTGAATGCTGAATGGAGCGTATACTATTTGGCAGCATTAAAAGATATAGAAATGAAGTTAGTACAGTGGTGAGTAGACTTATTAAAAAGGTAACTAAAACTTAGCTTTATAGGAGGCTTATTTATTTTGACATCATGAAGAATTATTGACTTTTTGAGGTGGAGGAGAGGTAAAGTGATTCCTGTATAATTTTATTCATGAGCCAATTTCAGCATAATCCCAGTAGTTAGTACAGCAAGTAATAAACATTTTTTTCTAGCCACGTGAGAACTGTTCAGTGCTTTCACCTGCACTTGTAAGTCATCCTGAATAAAGGCAAAGATGAGAAACGATTTACCCAAGGTCACAAAGCTGGTGCAAAAGCGGAATCAAAAGCAGAGCCTTGATTTCCAGCACTTCTAAGCCATGTCCGTCACCTCCCCTCAAAAACAAAGCACACATATATACACAGACGCACACATGTACACACACTGGTATGCGCACACCAAAGCGAGATAAGTTGAGGGGTCTGGCAGCCATCTTTTCCCCAGATATTTGTCCCCAGGTCCAAAAGTGAAGGTTTCAAAGTAACTCATCTATTGGATAACTTTGAATCATTTAAAAATCATGTCTAATCCTTAGTAATAGCACCAGTTTTCTAATCAGAGACACTTGTACTCAATCTCTATTAAAATACATGTTCTTAAAACCCATTCAAGCGAAGCAGCTTACTTTTAGAAGGACCAGATTTTCTGTTATATTTTCCAAGGGAAACAAAGAATTAAACACACCCACTTGAAGAGAAAAGGAAATGAATACAAAAAGATACAAAAGTCTCCCTGGTTTTGAGGAAGCGATTTTTGTAGGAAGAACTACTCCCAAACCAAACTCACTGCCATGGAGTCCGTCCTGCCTCCTAGCGACCCTGTAAGACAAGGTCGAACTGCCCCTGGGTTTCTGAGACTGTGACTCTTCATGGGGTAGAAGGCCTCGTCTTTCTCCCATGGAGAAGCTGTTGGCTTTGAACTGCTGACCTTGTTAGCAGTCCAACACATAATCACTAAGCCACCACAGTAGGAAGAACAGGGCAAGTATCAATGTCAGGTCCATCCACAGTTATTTGACTCTCTCTCTAGACCTTATTTCGATACATTCAAATTTGTTGGTGGATGCTTTGTCATCCAAGTATGGAGAAGCTGTGTGCTACACAAAGCTTCCACGTTCTTCAGCTGACCTAGCATCTCCGATACCATTCAAGTTTAAGTCTAATATGGAAAGCTTCAAAATCAGAAAGCCATCTTGCTGCTGGATCAGAATCCTCTCCAGTAGACATGTTTCAGGAAATAGCTTTCATAAAACGATTTTTGTTGAAATTCGTTCCAACTTGAGTCCTCACTCTCAAATATATTAATCTATTTAATTGTAGTAGGAATGTAACTCTGGGTTTCTCAATATACCCCTGAGCAGGGCAACCCAAGCCTCACTCAAATATATTAATCTATTTAATTATAGTAGGAATGTAAATCTGGGTTTCTCGATACACCCCTGAGCAGGGCAACCCGATCCTCACTCAAGACTCAGGCATTCACCTGCCAGCTCTCATCTTTTCCTTTGAAAAAGTTTCTCTTTTAAAAAAGCTGAATGGATTTGCATTTTTCTCATTTCTCACGCTATTTGGTCTTCCCGTGTTCCAAATAATAATGACAGAAGAAGACAAAGGAAGAAAGAAGAGTTGATGGTGGACAAAAATTGAGTGCTTACTGTGTACCAGGCAAGCTTAAGACGGTGTCTGTGTATGATTTCAGTCAACCCTGCCATCGAGCCACTGAATGTGGGTGACACAGCAAAGTAACTGCTAGTAGAACTGTTTGTCATTATCGAGAGGCCTTTAATTGAAAGACTCATTGTGGTAGTCACATAGTTTCATCTCAACTTGCTAAATAGGTCTCGGGGTAGAGTCTAGCCTGTCAATCAGGTCACAGCCTGATGATGCCTCCTTGTGGGTATGCCCTTCCTATGAGGATTCTGGGAACTTACTCTCTTTCTCCCTGGAGGTGGGCCACACTTTCTCTGCTTCACCTTCCTGTGGAGGAGACACTCAGAGCTAGAGGAGCCACGTGGAGAGCTGCTTCCATCACCATTGGATCCACAGGACTTTCCTTCCACCTACCAACCTGTGGTCTTCCTGCATTCAGCATCATTGCATTGCTACGTGAGTCTAAAGAGGAATTTATGGACTAATATCGCACATATGGGCTAATATTGGACTTGTGGAGTTGATCTGGACTAGGCTGGGATGTTTTTTCAATATTCAATTGCTCTTTGATATAGAGCTCTCTTAAACACAGACATGAGTATCAAGGGTGTCAATGTTAGACACCGGGTCTAACACATTCATTAAAACCTATTCCATACTAAGCTGTATTCTCTTTGCACTGTCAAACTCCGCCAATTAATATTTTGGTTGTGAACGAGTCCATCCCTACCATGTAGAGCAGTGCTAACACTGAGCTGGCATGAAAAAGAATACTTTCTTTTTTTTTTCTTGTTTAAGACAGAAGTTTAATGAAGTATTTTCTATGTTCATATTCCCCTGTACACTGTCCCAAGAACCTTTTCTTTCTTTCTTTTTTAACATGGGAGAAGTTCAATATATAGGTCATTTCTTCATTTTGAAAGTGAACTTTCTTCTTCTTAAGAATACTTTCTTAAAAAGAAAAAAATACTTTCCGAATGAAAACAGGAACGGGGAAAACAACTTTGGTAAGCTTGTGCGTGAAAGGTAGAAAGATTCATTAAAGCTTTTGACCTTCCAGCTTCCCGCTGAGAAGAAAACAGAGAATATTTCTTTTGCCACTAAGTGGTGACAATTTTCTTCAACAATAAAGGAATCATCCAGAATGGCTTTAAACAAATGAAAGTTACCTACAGTTCTACACGAAAAAAACCACACATTTAAAGGCAGGAAATTTCCTTTGCTAATCAAGGCAGAGTTAATTAGCACTCCCTCTCAACTATATTAAAAATACAGGACTGAATTACTAGGGCATGGTATTAATAAGACCAAAATTTACTTAACACAGTCACCAATCACAGTGAGAAAGTTCTTTTAAGGTGCAGCTCAAGAGTTAAAAGACATGAGTCACTGTTTACCATAGAAGGTGTAGGAAACCCACAGGAGTGGGCATGAAAGAAGCTCCTGAGAGGACCGCCCCCTGGCTCTCCCCAGAGGCTTTCCCAGGGCCCAGGCATCACCAGGGACAGTCCCACACCTGCCCTCAGCCTGGCTTCCTCAGAACCTTAATCCCCCCTCTCATTCATATTCATTTCTTTTTCTTATGCCCATCTCCAATGCCCTCCCCCCATCTTTTTTTCTCTTCAAGCCATAAGACAAAGATTTAAATCTCCAGTGCGAATTTATTAATTGGCAATGCAAAATAAAACCTGTTGCTATGTCTAACATATACAAGGTGGCAAAACCAGTACATTTTTTTTCCATCTCTACCCATAATTCTGTCTGAGACTGAAACCTCTGCCCTAAATTTGCTGAGGAAGCATGGAATGGGGACATAGGGTAGTAACGGAATCCACCCAAGATTTCATAGCACTTGGCAGGAGAGACCCCATCTCCACGAAGGGAACCCTTGTTGCTGGAGTGAGAAAACTCAAAATGTATCACCCAGGCTCCCTCTTCTTGAAAGGTGCCCTTGGGGAACAGTCGTTCGCCAGTAATTGCTGCATCAGTCACACCATCTAACAGATGGTGGGATGTGTATGATACATCTATCCATCACCCAAGGACTCCTTTCAAAAACCCCAAGCTAAACCTACTGCCAGGCAGTTACTCGGACTCATAGCCACCCTGTCAGCACAGCACAGAGCCGCCCCACAGCCCTCCAAGGCTGTGAGCTTCATAGAAGCAGGTGCCACAAATCCTCCTCCCACGGAGTGGCTGGTGGGTTTGAAATAATCCATCTTTCGGTTAACAATTGAGCACTTTACTATAATCAAAGCTAACTGGATAGCCTTTCCATAGCAAATGCTTTGATATTGATGTGTATGTTAAACTTCATTTTAAAATCAGGTGTAATCAAGAATCGTCCTTTCTTTAATTCATTGCAAGTTCCCACTTCCTTTTCCCGCTCCACTCAACAGTTCTACACTCTCTCTCAGAACGAGAGCCGCTGCTGTGGCCTTGATAGCTGTGCACAGAAGGCACACTAACGGCAGCAGAATGGATTACATGTCTGAATGCAGTTCTCCTTAATTTAGTGCTTATTCACACAACTCAGGTAGTTTTAGATATAACTGTCTTAGGAGTTGCCTATAGCACTTGGGGCATTTAAAATGAACATGGAAGATACAAAATTGACTTCACAAATCATTTTACCTCCCTCTTTACCGATAGTTTGTTTTTTCTTTAGGGCACAGTTTTATTGATCAGTTATTTTTATTGTGGCCTGTGCGGAAGTTTACAGAGCAAATTAGTTTCCCATTTAACAATTTACACACAATCTTGTTTCTTGACATTGGCAGCAATCCCCCTCAATAGAACAGCACTCTATGTTTTTGACCCCTCCTGCCTTCTGAACTTTTTACTGGGCCGAATGCCAGCCTTATGGTCTCCTCTGGTTGACTGTCCTGAGGAGTACAATCCTCCAGGTCTGGTGTTTTTCCACCTTATTATTTATTGTTGTTTTTAGGTATTGCCACGTCAGTTCCGACTCTTAAAAATCCTATGTACAATAGAAGGAAACGCTCCATCGTCCTGTGTCATCCTCGCAGTGGCTATGCTTGCGCCCATTATTGCAGCCACCATGTCAATCCACCTCTTTCACAGACCCTCTACTTCACCAAGGGTGATGCCAATTCCCTTTCTCTTCTTCACTTTATAGGTCTGGCTACTGTTTATTTCAAAGGTGATCCCCATGGGTGGGTTCAGTTCCAGGTCTGAAGGGGAATCTAAGGGCCATAGTCCCCAGTCTCTATCAAACCAGTAAGTCTGGGCTGCTTTATAATTTTGTTCTACATTTATTTTCTATTCTGTCCAGGACCCTCTACTGGGATCCAGATCAGAACAATCCAATCCCGATCACAGCAGTCAGAGATGATCGCAGGGGGCCAGCTCGCTCTTCTGATCTCAGCTAGTAGACACTGTGATTTGCATGATCCATATGAATTGCACGGACTACGGGAGTCTTATTTTCTCTTCTTTGCTCCAGACACAGGGAAGATCAAGAGGTGCACCTTAGACTCACAAGCCTTTAAGACCCACTTGCTACTACTAGCCAAAGTGGGATGTAGAATATTGTCTTTGTGGACTATGTTATGCTAATTGACCTAGATGTCTCTCATGACTATAACCCCAAGTCCCTAAACCCAGTGCCTCCATCCCTCAAGTGTTTTGATTATGGCAAAAAAGTTTTCATAACGTTGTTTCCTATACTGTTACAGGCTAACCTAAAGCACAAATACTAAATGAAAAGCAACAGATATATAAATACATATGTATAAATATCCTCTGCCAAGCTACTTATACTCTCGCAGGGACACATTATCCCACACCTGTTTAGCTTGCATATCTACCTATGTATCCTCTAGTAAATTACTGCTTGTCATACTATTGTTGCAGGATTGTGTATCTGATCATATATGCCATTGTTACGGCACAATTTTTGATTCAGATGGTCCAACATTCTGAATGTGTATATTCCTATGATAGCCTAGAGCGACGTGTCCCTAAGACAGGAGGGCTGCAGCTATAAGTACCTGTGTGCTGGCTTAAGAAGACAACAGGGTAGGCCTAAAGCAAGTGAATATTCGAGACTAGAACTTGTGTTCATAGACCCATGGGTGAAGACCCCTCTATGTGCTTGCAGTCTAAAGGCCTTCCTCCACGTTCCTTTCCTCCAGTAACTAAGACCACTGGAGGGTCTTCATGGGGCAGAGAGGAGAGGCTTGGCTCAACAACACAAAGTCACTGTCTGTAGGCATAACGGGACTGGCGTCTTTTTAATGTGCTTCCTTATGTGGACTAAAGTACTTTCATTTCCCTTTCGAAAAACAAAAACCCTTTGTGTGTTCGGTTAAAAACTACAGGCTCTGAAAAACCATAAACAAGTCAAACAAAGGTTTTCTTTTTTTTTAAAAAGGCAGGGTGACCTGTGTGAGTCTCAAGGCTAGCTCTCTGAGGCAGGACACACATGTGCAGCACATGATGCTGTCGTAAGGGAGCCAGGTGAAGGGAAATCCCAGAGCCCATTACCCAAGCACCAGAGAAACAGAAGCATCCAAAACAAACGAGCAAAGTCAGACAGAAAACGGGGGGATTCCACATGCTAGGGTAACACTGCTGCTTCTTACAAAGGGGGGGGGGGGCGAGATAGTACAAAAGAAATGTCCAGATCTTTCTCATGTCCCTTGAGTTACAGTATCCAGTTCTGCTTCTCGTTGACCCAGAACCCAAGGAATAGCAAGAAAGCCTCCCCTGCAATTGGGAAGGCACTTCAGAAAAAGATATCCCCGATGCAAGCACAGCACAGAGTGGACAAACAGTGGGAGCACCCTCGAACACTCAGCACACTTGTCTGACCAACGCTCGACGGCGCCCAGGGGGCAACTCTCCTTACCGAAAAGAATGGGAAAAGGCTTGCAATCTGCAAGGAGCCCAAGTCAGCATTGAAAAAGAAAGGAAGTTTCTGGTAAATCTAAAACAAGTAAATCACCTACTTTTTACTAATCGTCTGAGACCATCATTGGATTCCCAAGTGCGAGGCAAAAAGCTTAAAAAAAGAAACCCGTTAATCTGTACAAATCAACAATCCAGGTATTTTGGTCGAAAAAGCTGTCCTACACATGCACCCTTCCGTTTTCTCGACAGTGTTTTAAAGTCTATACCAGTGGCTACATTAATGGTGATATCAGCAGATGCCCCATGAAGTTTATTTATAATGCCCTTCAATAAAATCAGAAAAAAATCAAAAGAAAGACGTATACCTAACGCAGGTACAAATAATTAGCGCAGGGGTCGAGAATGCTATGTGCACTGCGTTAAGCTTGGAATGAGAACAGTTGAAGTATAAGGAACAGATCACTTCGTCCTTTCAACATAGCCCATCGTATGCAGGATCCACAATGGGGAACCGAACCTCCGGACCCGACAAAATTCTGGTTGCTCCCTCAGGAAGGACAGAACAGAGCATGCAACCTGAGTGGAGAACAACGGGCCTCACATCCTGCATGCCGACAGAAGCACAGCATGTCACCCCCAAGGGTCGTTCTCCGCAGGATTCAAATCCACATCGGGAGTGGGGGAGGGGAGCACGGGAAGGCACAGTGAGGCGGTTTTATCAAAATGGCAAAGACAAGCTAACCTGAAGCACCAAAGCTAAATCACACGCCACTGCTCACACGATCCAGATCGATGCCGAGAGCATGAAAGTCGACATGGTTTCCAGATGTGTGAAAATCGGTGGACACGTGACTACTGTGATGGCCCCACGGCAGAGAAATGTAGCGTGTGGAAGGGAAGCCAGGTTCAATCCGAGCGTGCACCTACACTCAGCCCCACTGGGACGCCAAGCTCTGCCCACGGTCACAGCCGGCCTCCTCCTCCTCCTCCGAGAGATACTTACCCTGGGAGGCTAAGAACGAATACACACATGTGAAAGCACACAACCAGAATTTTTAGAGACCGCCTTAAGGCGTTCATTCACGCAGCGACTGTTCTGAAGTTCAATTGCAAGGCCCTAAAGACTTCTGGCAAGCCTCTCAAAGGGCCTGTCCCCAGGAGTGCCCTCCCTCCCCTCCCTCTAGCAGGGCTGTCTAGATCCCTCCAGGAAACACACACACCCCCACCCCAGCTAGGAAGGAGCGCTAAGCAGCACAGACATACTTGACGTCTTCCAGCTTCTTAGTGATGACTGAGCCGACAGATGAAAAGGCAGCTGAAGCCCTTTGTCCGGCCTGAGTCAAGGTCTCGGATGTCTTCTTGTATCTGTATTCGCACAAAAGAACAGAGAAAGAAGGTTAAGCTCAAAAACCCCGCTCTTGGTTCAAGCGTAGGGGTCACTACCTGGTCAAGAACTCTCCAAAAAAGAAAAAAAACGTTTTACGAACACCTCAGGTCCTTCACAGTTACCATGTCTTCAATTCCACAGCATCTCATTCCGAAGTGTGACTCTAGGCAACACCTACTGCAAGGCCCCAGGCAGCCAGAAGGTAGGAGCCTTGATAGGCTCAGGTGAAAAACGAAAGGAAAATTCAGGGAATGGACTAAAAAATTATCAGGGAGCAAAGATGAAAAAATGAGCCAGAGTCTGAAATAAATTATACCTTTTGCTCCTCCTTTTTCCAAACGAAAACCAAATCAAACTCCTCAGGCGTCTTTTACAACTTTATCTCCTAAAGACCCAAACCCCCTGCTGTCAGGTCTGCCCTGCTCATGCCCCACGGAGCAGGGCAGACAAGCCCTTTGGACTCCAACGGCTGTGAGTCCTGACAGGAGCAGGGAGCCTGATCTTTAATCATGGAGCAGCTAGTGGGTTTGAACTGATGACTGACTGGCAAGGAGTCTAGTGCACATTCCACTCCACTGCCAGGGCTCCTTTTATCTCTTAAGAGGGGGCCAGATACAGCATTCAGGTCAGGGGAAGTAGGGCCCAAGCATATTTTGCTGCCCAATAGAATCCATGGCCAAAAAGAATTGTTCATAACTTTGCATGTATGTAAAGAAGCCAAATAGGGCTTTGTTGGAACAATCATTACAACACCAGAAAGATTACAACAACCCTTCCCAACTACCTTGAATATGGTGCCTACGAAAGAAGCGAAGGCTGCCGCATTACAGAAATGCCTGCTCCGACCACTTGACTGACCCCGTCAAGATCAAACACTGAGAGGCCACACAGCTCATGCTGACGTGGTCAAAGAATAGTTTCCTGATGTTGTCCTACTGCCAGCTTGCCCGGGGAGGAAAATGGACCTCAATGAGTTGGTACTACCATTTCAGACACGCTGTCTGCCTTATGCTGACGGGGCTCAAACCCATGCCATCAAGTTGACTCCAACTCACAGGAACCACCCTATGCGGGTTCCCAGGACTGAGCAGCTTTACCAAAAGCACGCAGCCTCATCTTTCTCCTACAGAGTGGCTAGGGAGTTTGAGCCGCCATGCAGTTAGCAGCCTGATGCCCAGGCCACAGCCCCACCAGGGCTAATGGTGACCCCAAACCCCCTGCCATCCAATCAACTCTGACTCATAGTAAGCCCATAGAGGGGTTGTGAGCCTGTAAATCTTACAGCAGTGGATAGATTCATCTTTCTCCCACACCTGATAGGCTTGAACTGGCAACCTGTGGTTAGCAGTCCTGTGCTTACTTCATAGCACCCACCAGGGCTCCTATTAAGGGACGGGGCAAAAACATCATGAAGCATGCCCTGTTCAGCCGGTGGGAATGACTAAAGAGCCAGTTCACCAGAAACAGGCTCCTCCTCTTGTGGGGAACTGAAACAGCAGGCAATGCCCTATCATCATGTGTGTGATCAAAAGGGAGAGTTGAAGGAGTTGGCTTCGGTCACACCATGTCATTGGAGACTGTGATCCAAGCATCCACACTATGCCTGATGGTTGGGTGTCACCAAGTTGACTTTCAACTCAGCCACCCAGTGTGACCCAACAGAACGGTCCCCTAGTGCTTTCTAGGCTTGATCTGTATGGGAGCAGAGTGCAAGGTCTCCCCCTACAGAGCTGCCGGGTTTGAACTGCCAACCTTGCAGTTAGCAGCTGAGGGCTTAGCCACCGTGCAACCTGGGCCCCTTCACGCTTTGCACAGAGCAGGGGGCACAGTACGATCGGCTCCGTAGTTAGACTCGAGTTCAAACACAGACTCGCATGTTGAGTCAAAGCTTATCTTGAGCCAGTTTCCCTCCCCGGGGCTATCTTACCACCCACCCTATCGACCGACTCGGAGGACAGAACGGCATCATGTACACATTTGGCAAATTACTATGCCACGTTGTTGGAATGAAATTTAACAAGCTCCCCCAGGCTTGTTTTGTTTTTGTTTTGTTTCTTCTTGCAGAATGGTCTAGTGTGCTGAAACTACACAAGAGTCAAATGCATTTCAAAGTCAAGCACCCTGCACCCTGGGTCACCCCAAGAGGAGCAGCAGAAGCTTCCTGGGCTCCTTTCCCCTCCCCTCCACAGCCCAAGCGGGGGGTGGGGGGGCAAGTGCTCATTACCACTCTCTAGGAAAAGGCACCAGCAAGCGTGCACACGTACGCGGATGTTGCCGTCACGTCTTGCCACCCTTTGGCAATGTTCTGCTTTATTTCCTGTAGCGAACTGATTCCAAGCTTCCGCTTAAGCTCGGCGAGATGCTTCTCCTTGGCTGCCAATACTTGAGATAGAGTTTGGATTTCCTCTTCCACCTAGGAGGGGAAAGGAGGCCGGCGTGGAAACACCGCACAAGTCATTCATATCGAAATTCTAGAGCCGTGTGTGTGTGTGTGTGTGTGTGTGTGTGTGTGTGTGTTGTGATTTTGCTTCATTGATTTGTTTCAGTTATAAAGTAACATAAGATAAAACTTGTGAAAGGCAGAAGCTAGGTCCAGTGAAAACCTGTCAGAGAAGGAAAATTCAAATATTTTCCACTGAGAGGGAGAGAAAGAAAAGAGGAATAGGAAAAAGGAGGAGGGGAAGGAGGCAGAAGATGAAGACAGGGAACGGGAAGGGGAGGGGGAAAGGAGAGGGGCAAGGCCCGGGGCTTCAACCTGTCAGAGAGAGAGATAAGTGTTAAGACTGCAACCTGTCAAAGGCAGGAAAACCCGGCAGCCCCTTTGAGCTCCGGCTCTCACAGGTTGCCCTGTGTGATGGCTTTTCATTCCACTGATTAGGGTTTAAGTCCATATAAGAATAATGAAGCAGACAGTATTGATGTTAAGTATTGTTTTTGTTAAGGGTTTTGCTGGCTTTTCTTCTAAGCCTCCATCTATTTATGGTGGTCTAGGGTTAATTGTGGGGGGAGGTGTGGGGTGTGGGATTGTATTAAATTTTGGTGGTTCTTTTTTAGGATTAATAGGTATTTTTTTTAGTCTATTTAGGGGGAATGCTAGCTGTGTTTCTTTATACAACAGCTATGACTACCGAGGAGTACCCTGAGATTTGAGTATCGAATGCTGCAGGCTGGGGGGAGAACGGATCCCCTGTTTTTCTATTCCGCAGAGCGATACACACGCTGCCTGTCTCTTTACATCTCCACCACGGGTCCTCCTCAGCCCCCACCCCCACCCCACCCCCCACCTCCCGGTACTGACAACAAGGTGAGAGCACCCGCTCTAGAAACACGACAGCAACAAGTCTGAAGTGCAAAGCATGACGCTCCTCTTTGAAAACATGATGCTGCGAAGCCAGATTCCAAAGGTCACCTACATGGAGCCCATTTATATGAAATACACCGAATGGGCAACTCCATAGTGACAGAGAGTTAGCTAGGGGTTCCCAGAGAGGGAGGGAAGTGGGGGGGTAGTGGGGGGGTATAAATGGCGACGTGTTTCCTTTTGAGGTGCTGAACACGTTCTGGAGTTGGATGGTGTCACAGTTGCATGTACTAAATGTGACTGAACTCTACATGTTAAGATGGCCAAGATGGTCGGTCAATCACAAGTGTGTCCACCAGTCATAGCGCCGGCGAGTGGTTCCGTACTTTTGCAAGCTCTCTCCTTAGCTCTTCCTGCTCCTCCTCCGACAAGGCATCTGGGGTACTGATGGTGGCAGCAGCATCTTCCCCCTCCTCCGGGACTGGCTCTGTTCTCAGCACACCTGGATGGGGATTTAAAGAAAAGGAAAAAAAAGAATGGGCTCTTAGGCCTGAATGCTAAGCAGCAGTCTCATGTGGGCTCCTCCCCTGCCCCGCCCCCCACAAACAAACCCAGACCCAGCCAGGGGAGGGGTCTTCTGGCCTTTCAACAGACTGCCTCTTCTAGAAAAAGACGAGAGAGAAGGGTGGACTCACCATTAAAGACAACCAAGTTAGATTCTGCCAAAATAAGGGTTTAGGGGAGAAAAATAGCATCCTCTCCGCCTCTGCTCTTTTTTGTCTGCAGAGCAGAAGGGTCAGAAGCCAGAAATGGGATCCGACCAAAGGCTTGAAAATGCTCACACCAGCAGCGCACTATGAATTACCTGGATGCTTTCAGCCAGTTGTCGCTAAGGGGAGGAAGTGTGTGGAATGCCGGTAGTTTCCTCTGGCTACCAAATGCAACACTTCAGAAGCTCCCAGGTGAGGGGAGAACTATAGACGAAACTCAGTGCATCCAGAAGTTTTCCTCCACGTCTTTCCATTAGTAATGGAGGTGGGAAACACTGGTAGCTGTTCTTTTTACTATCCCACCCAGACACCCCAAATGACTCCTGGGACCTCTTTACTCATAGGAATAACCAACAATCCCCAAAGAGGTTTTCTGCTTGAAGACCTTCCCCCAGCTGCACCCATTTCTCTGGAGGAGAGCCAGCGACTAAAAACCCATCAGGTAGAACATGGGAATTCTGGAAAGAGACCAGGGAAGCAGCTGCCCGGAGCCATGTTCCCCTCCCTTCCTATCAACCCCCAGCCCCAAAGACAGGGGGAGCCCGGAGTCCAAAGTGGCATCGCCATGGGCACCGGCATTAAGAGGACAAGCAAAAATGTCTGCATGGAATATTTCTAAAATGAAAATTAACTCGCAAATCCACAATGAACCCCAAACCAAGAATTTCAATAGCATCTGTGCGCCTGCTTTTCCTTTTGCCGCAGGCCCTCGCCTAAAGCCCTGTGGCTGGAGCTGGTCTTTAGCTAGTGTTTGAACACTTTGTTCGTCTTGCATTTCGGACACTCATTTTGATATTTTTACCTAGCATCTGTCTTGCTCACGGAGTTTTCCTGTTGTAGCTGAAACCTGGGGCGAGTGTTTACTGGCTTACTATCGCAGTGACCCTTGGGCTCCCCCCGCCCCATGTCACAGGTAAGGACTTCAAGAATGTCTTCTGGCAATGGAGGATTTTTGCTTGTTTGTTTCTTGCATGAAGGCCACTGGAGATTTTCCCCTTCTGAGCCCCGGCACTTCCATGTAGGAACACTGGTGGTATAATGGGGTAACACATTGAGCTGCTAATTGCCAGGTCAGCGGTTCAAACCTGCCAGCTGCTACTTGGGAGAAAGATGAGACAGACTACTGCCCTAAAGATTGCGCCTTGAAAACCCAGAGGGTCCGTTCGGCTGCGGTCAGGCAAGATGTGATGGCTGTGGGGTCCCCCCTCTTGTTCTGTCTCCTCCTCTTCCCACCACTGAGCGCCGCAGCCACTGTAGTTGTTCCCCACTACCCGCCACATCCGTCTCTGGAAAGGCCCTAGGTCAGCCGCGGCAGCAGGGTGGCACCCCCACTCCCCACCCTTCCCAACACACACACACACACACACACACACACACAGCAAGACGCCAGACAGCTAATGAAGAGCACAACAGGCAGGCCGGGCGGAAGGAGGAACAAGAAGCGCTAGCACCATGGTTAAACATAAAAGAACTGCACGACCCAGTGAGCTCACGGGGACATACACTATGTACAAGGTACACAAACACACTGCTTACTGTCAACAATGCATGCCACTCAGCATTCCAGGACCAAAACATTGCCCACAGGGAATACCAATAAGGCAACTGAAAACACTGCAAGTTGGAGTGGCAATAGGAGTGATTAAATCCTCCGGTGCACAGACAACTTCACAGTCTAATGAGTACGCCGAGCAGCTCACTGAGCGTTGACTTCCGCCGGTCCCCTCTCCTATGTGCCCCAAGAATACCTGCAGAAGAGACCCCTGATCATGCCACTGCCCCGCTAAAAAGGCCTCTAGTGGTTCCCCGTCGTCTTCAATAAGGTTCAGCCCCTTCTTGAAGCTCACAGGCCTGGGTCAGACCGTCCCTGCTCCGTGGCTTCGGCAGCTCTGACTCTAACCGCCGAGAGTGAAACTGGTTACCCGCAGCAGTAAGAGGGTCTCTGTGTGCTGTGAAGTGATCCCGGGCCAGATCACGGGATGCAGCACGAGGCTGGGGAAGGGAGACCCACGCCAGCAATAGACAGACGCAGCCACACACTCCAAACCGGAGCTGAGTTACATGTGAACATTTGGTTTTTAATATTTTGTTCAATACTTCTATGTTCTTCCAACTAGAATGGGACCCCAAATGAATGTGTTAAATTGTCACAAAAAGGCAACCAAAACAGTGCTAAGCCATGCCTCAAACATCAAAGATGAGTTCATGCTTTTTGGAATGACCATTATATCCATTATATTGTGCCCATCTCTACAAGGCACGGGGGGGTGGGGGTGGGGGGGTGCGGCGCGGGGATGATGACGCAATATGCCGTGGCTGATAATGTTTTATGCGTGCCTGAACAATTCAAAAAAAATCTGAGGTCAAGTATTCAGGTAGGCTCTCAAGGAAATTAATTCACTGCAAAAGGGAAGTGGGGCGGACCGCAGTTGGTCTTCCACACCTCAAAGATGACCTTGAGATTTTTATATAGCGAATCTAATTTGGGTGACTCCCTGTTCTGTCTTTCCCATGATCGCCTGTAGGTGGCAGCAAATCATCAACATGAGAAAATGTAAAGCACGCTTTGTTTTAGCGGAGTAACCGGATGAAAATTTGGGAAAATAATGGACATTAAAGAAGACTAGAACAGCAGGTACGGAAAAGCACCAGCATGGCACGACTGCCATAGCTCTGGAAAATTCGAATACTACCACCGCCACTGCAGTGAAGTGAAATCACTTGGTGACTCTTCAGCCACTCTTTGTAACGCCCTTCAAACGACTAGCTCTACACCCAAACCCAAAGTCGGGGCTGACTGCTATCAGACCTGAGGAAAAGGGAAACCGCCTCCTGTGATTTCGGGGACTGCAAATCTTATCATTCTAGCCTACAGGACATTCTAGCCCGTGAGTCTCTGAAATTTTAACTCTCTGCGGGAGTGGAAAGCTGTCTTTCTCCCCTGGAGTGGCTGGCGAGTTAGAACTGCTTCTTTGCAGTTAGCAGTCCAATACGTAACCTTGACATTGTCACAGACCCTAACGACTACGTGGGAGCAGGCTAACAGGGTATGTGAAACTCTAATGGAGGAGAGTGGTCCGTTTTCCATTCCTCGGGGTAGAAAGTGGGCCATTTCAGAAATGAGACCAGAGGATGATACCACCGCCCCGAAGAGGGAGCCCCGAGAGCAAAGTTCGACCAAGGATCCTCCTTGGACCGGCGGCTACAGAGGCAGCAGCAAGATAAGAGGAGGCTGGCGGTATGGCCGGTCGTATCTAGACTAGCAGAGTTTACCAGGCTCGTCACAAATACGCCTCTCTACGAAGTCAAAGAATCCAGGAGACTGCAAAGAAGCAGTCTCATCCCCTTACATCAAAGCTAAGGCTTCCGCAGCCCTGGGGCGCCAAATTTCGCTTTATTCCTCTTTCTAGATGTCAGACTGTTTCCTCGCTGTTCTTTACAAGCACAGCGTCCATTGCAGAGGCTCAGATGGGGCTGAAGATTGTGGAGCGCTCTTTCTGTAGATGACGTGGAGGCACTGGAGGTTACTCCACAGGTGGTGCTTTGGACAGGCGTCACTGGCGAGCAGAGTGAGGGGTAGCAGTGCAACGGGGGAAAGGCCAGGGAAAATGCTAGAGGAACACAGGAGTCAGGGGACTGGACTCGAAACCCAGGTAATAGTAGGGGACATGGAGAGCAAGCGGCAGATTTTGAAAGAAAGAATGTTTTTGTTTGGGTGACTGAACAGAAAATGTGTTAAAGACACCAGGATTTGGCAAAAACAGGCCTCCGATCCATTTGAGTAGCTGAACCACAAAAATTACCAGAGTCAGGGCCTTTCCTGTTCCTGCCCTCCGACTGCGACATCCACTCCGGACCAAGTGTTCCCAGTCCCTCTCCCTGCGGCTATAGAACTACGAAGCAGGAGAGAACTGCTACTAAGTGTATCAGATAAAGAACCTGAAGTCCTCTCACGGCCATTCAGCCCATTCTGACTCACAGTGGCCCCATAGGGCAGGGTAGAAACTGCCCTTGTAGGTTTCTGAGACTAATTTGTTACAGGAACAGAAAGCCTCATCTTTCTCCCATGAAATGGCTGACGGTTTCGAACTGCTGACCTTGCAGTTAACAGCCCAATGCATAACCGCTATCTCACCAGGGCTCCTAAACTGTAGTCCAGTGACCTTAAGCCAGCGGTTCTCAACCTGTGGGTCACAACCTCTTTGGGTGTCAAAGGACCCTTTCACAGGGATCACCCAATTCATAACTAGCAAAATTACAGTTATGAAGTAGCAACGAAAATAATTTTATGGTTGGGGGGTCACCCCACAACATGAGGGCCACAGCATTAGGAATGTTGAGAACCACTGTTTTAAGCTAATAACAAATTCACTAATTAGTCCAGAAGTGTAAATTAAATTATATTTAACTAACTTAAAATAAATTAAGGAATTGGGAGGCAAAAACATTAATAGAGATATAAATACAGGCATGTACATATGTAAATATATTACTATATAACAATAGGGATTTAGGTCTATGTACATATATTTCAATGGTAACTATAAGGTAGAAGACAAATTGGGTCTCCCTTTAACACAAGAACACTTTGTTCTAATAACCTGGCATTCTGTGTTGCTCAACTTCCTGACACCATCGCTGAAGACAAAAATGGGTGAATAAACAGATGTGGTGAAGAAAGCTGATGGTGCCTGGCTATTACAAGATGTAGCATCTGGGCTCTTAAAAGCTT